GTGTCCCGATGAGAAACGGGGTGAACACCAAACAGCCTCGATAGACAGCGCACGCTCAGACCCCCCGCCCATGTGCTTCCTTACCCATAATCACAGGAGCATGTGATCCCAAACAGCCGAGTTGCGGGTAAAAGAGTACAGGTATTCAAAGCGTGTAAAACACTGTTTTGATTCAAAATGACTCTATTTTCAACTAACCACTAAAAATGTCTCTCCCGTCAGAATAAAGCTGCATGCTGGCTTTTCCCGTTTCTGATTCAAGTCTCCTTTCAACGTGACAACCGTTGGTAATCACTGGAGAAAAATCCCACTGTGCCTGGGTTTACTCAGCATGAAAATCACACTGCTCTTCCATCACATGTCCCTGCAGCTCATTCCAGCACTAGCATGCAATTAGGCACATTTAATATAACTAAGTTGCATTCAGAGGTTTACTATTGAACCAAGTACAAAATATGTTCCCAGGACAAACAAATATTAATTTAAAATAACCACGACTGAATTGAGGGATTTGAGATCTCTCTCTCTCTCTCTCTCTCTCTCTCTCTCTCTCTCTCTCTCTCCCCCCTCCTTCTAACTGTGTATGGCTCTGAATACTAAACTTTTAGAGTCTACACTACATAGCGAATAATTTTTATGAATCGGTGCCTTTAGCAGAGTGTGTGTCTGTGTGTGTGATGTAAGTCAACACAGACTTAGCTAAAAGCAAATGTGCCAGTTTCAGGTATTTCCTAACACTTCTTTGAAAAATATATTCTTTATTAGAATAGGAATAAATATTGATTGGTATTTTTCTCAGATTTCTGGAATTCTACTCTTTAAAGAATTACAAAGAAACACTCCTAATTAACTATATATGGGAAATGTGTTAAGATTCCTCATGTTCTGAAAAGAAGAGCAATAATATAAACAACATCAGGAAAAAAAGGGATATTTTCTCAAAGCATATTTTTAGTCTATTACTCTGAGATAAGGTATAGTAACTTGCTCATTTGGATATAGAAAAAAAATTAATCCTTGTGGAATAACTTTTTAAAATTTTTTAATTTGAGATGATTACAGAGTCGCATGAAGTTGTAAGAAATAATACAGAGAGATCCCGTCATCCTCCTCACTCAGTTCCTCCAGTGCTAACACCTTGCAGCGCTCCATACAATGTCACAGCCAGGAGACCGACATTAAACCATCTCCAGACCGTATTCCAGTTTCTCCAATTTTACATGCACCGTGTGGGTGTGTGTGTGTGTGTGTGTGCGCTCGCGCGCTCCTCTCCATACAATCCTATCACGTGCACAGCCTCAGGTGGCCGCGTGGAACACCTTGTTAAGCAGTTTCTGTTTTCAGTATTTCATCTTGACTGCACCCCTGTCTATATCTCTTAGATGCTATTGCTTCTTTATGGCTTTCTGTTCCTTGGCTACAGTCACACGTTCATCTCATCGTGGAGTTTTATTGCCTCATTCGTGAACTCTCTGCTGGTGCAGAGCTTTGTCTTTGGTTTGCCTTTTGCAGCACATTTATCCTTTCCCATGAAAAGACACAAATATAAACAGACATTCCAGCGTGCATTCATGGGTTTAAAGACACCAGTGAGAATAGATGAATATATACACGAAGCTTAAAAACTGTCATAAAAGTTCAGCCTTTAAAATTGGCTTATTAAAATATTTGTTTTTTTAAACCCAGCTTTAAACTAAAACTATGAGTTATAGTGCTCGGCTCACAGAGTTTACTTTACGAGCTTCTTGCCAGGCAAGAGGAATCCGGCATCAGTGCCGTCTGTCCAGAGTTCAGTGAAGTGGGGATGATGAAAACTCAGTTTTTTCAGGCTCAAGACTTGTCTGAAAATATGCAGCTTTTAGTAAAGCTCGATACAGTACTGTATTTCAGTGGACCTCAAACAGTCACCCTCCAGCCCCTACTCTGGCCCGATGGATCGCCAGACTTTCTACTGACATTCGAGGGAACAATAGCCACATGACTGAGGTCAACCCCTACAGTGGATCTTACCGATGGGTATTTTATAAGGAAACATCGCATATTATTCAGGTAGCTCAGTCTTTCATTCTGCTTCCTCTGACCAATCAAAAGCTCTACTGAAATTCTGCAGTTCCGTTCTCCACGAGGAATTCCTTTTCTTTTGAGGCCAGCTAGCAATCCAATTATAGCAGTTAGCAAACACCTCCAAGAAGTGAATTTACAGGAGGGAGGAAAAGGCTTACCCATCCTGGATACTGAGAGGGTCGTACTCTGCCCTCCAAAGTAACTACAAGTTCCCAGAGAAAAACTAGTTTGTTGAGTATGGTAACCCACTAAAAATCTGCCCATACTTTGCAGAACTTAGAGAAGATGTTTTCTTTAACCACAAAACAGAACAACAGAGGCCATGTCCAATAAGTAATCGTCACCTCCATGCACCCTCCATACCAGGCGCCTCGGACCCTGCTCCTGAAGTGCAGGCATTTAATGAAAATACGGAAAACTCCTTTGCGAGTGTTCCACTAGATGAACCCAGCTGATTGTCCAAAGACACCTGATTCATTGCCTGTCTGTGTTTTTAAATACCAGGCCAAAGAAGAAAGTCAGGATAAATACCAGCACCGGCCGCACGACTTCCTGTGTCTCTCTTTATATCAGGGGGCAATTTAGACTTTTTATCGTTGCTGCTGTTCACATAGACACAGCTTTTTAAAATATATATATATGTGAAAACATCTCACATTAGATATTAAAATCACATACCGTTTCCTGAAAGGTCTAGAAATTCTTTGGTGATACATGTAACTAGTGTTTCTTTAAAATGTTATAGATAAATAACAAATGGCATTTAGCAACATCTTCAGGAAATCAAACCAATGGTGACTGCATTTATTCCCATAGAGACTAATGAGTTAAAAGCGAAAAGAATACAAAGTTTTTGCTTCACATGCCCGGCAAGTAAACACAAGGTGTGCCCAGATCATTCCTACATCAAGGACCCCCGTACCCCCGCTTCTCGGCAGGGTGGGTATCTATCTGCTTGAAGAAACGTGTTTATTGGAACTGGTCAATTTAGATTCAATTTTATAAAAACATAAATAAATGGGCCCCATAGAGATCATTTGCTCTCCAGCTCAATGTGTTATCTGTTACATTTTAAGGATTTTTTTCCCCAAACAAACTCTTACCATTTACTGATTACAAGTACTGCCTTTTATTTTTATATAATCTTTCATTGCAATCCATGTCAGTGTTAGGAGTGCAATTATTTTGTAATGAATTTTAAATGACCCTACTAAATTCTGCGTTGAGGTACAGCTCCTGGTATTTGTTTTCAATAATTTTCTGGAGGAAATTCTTAACGAAAATTCTGCTGGCATTTTCCTTAAACAAAGCTATGTGTGTATATTTTTAAAAGATGACAGTCCTCATCTGTTTGTTCTTATTTCATCTGTGCTATAAACTGCGGATGGTCTAAAGGGTAAATGGAATTGACTAATGGACGCTCATAATTTAGGCAGCAGAACCCAGAATGGATGTGTTATCCCACTGCAGCGTTTCAGTCCTCGGCCAATCCAAACCCTCTTTCCCAGGGAAATATGTGATCGAGACACTTTCCATCTGCTTTTGACAAAGATAGGAGCCGTTTCCCATAAGTTATTCCCCGCTGAAATTCGCTACTTTCCAGGGCTATCTCCTCAGAATTCTCAGTGGCACGGAAATGAAAATAAAAAAATACAAAATAAAATCCACCTGAGCGACATCAGCTTTTCGTGGGCACAGCAAACACATTTGCAGATATTATGGAACCACATAAAAAAGAAATAGATCTGTTTGGGAGGGTGGGCGGCTGCTCGCTCCTGAGTGATCTAAATTCCTTCTGTGCGAAGCAGAGACTTTTGTAAGAAAACCTTGCAAGGTGAGCAAGAAACTAAACATACTGAGTAGGGAGGATTTTTGTAACACACGTCCCTCCCCCCCAGTACATCTTGCACCCTCCATGGCCCGCGGGAGCCATCGCCCCGAGTCCGCTGGAAGGACGGCGCCTCCGCGATTAGAGCTCCTCTGAGGGGACTTCCAAGGTGTCTGGTGAAACGGCGCCGGTGCGGCCCAGAACACGCTCCCCGAGGAAGCCCAGCTCCCAGGCTCTCAGCAGCTGCGTCCCCTTCACCTGCTCCCGCGGGACCGACCCGCACGGCCCTCGTTCCCCTCAAACCTGTTTCCCTGCCAGCACCCCGGGCGCTTCCTCGCAGGCTGGACGCGGGGAAGCGGCAGGAGCAGAGCCCCCTCCCAGACTGACGAGGTTCAAGGCGGGGAACAGAGGCTTCCAGCCCCGAGGTCCGCTCCACCTGCCCGCGGGGAGCCGGGTTCCCAGCAGCGGGTCAGTCCCGGCCACCGCGCCGGACCTGCTGTGCGTCAGCCTCAGCCCATCCTCTGCACTCCCGACGCCAGGCCACCCCCGGCTCCGCTCCGGGCTGCTCTGGCCGCAGAGCCCCCAGCCCTGGGCAGTGCCCTCCCGCCCTCTCCAGGCAAACCTGGGGGCCCAGGGTGCGCACCCCGGCGCCCACGGGACCTGCCCGCAGCAGAACAGGACTGCCAGGGAGAACTGGGTGTTCGCTTCCCAAGAAGAACGAGAAGCCACAACCCTGCACGACCGCCACTACCAGGAGGGACCCAAAGGGCAGCTGGTCCCCACTTGTCTGCCCCTGCCCCCCCAGGCGGTTCTTCTCATGCGCACTCCCCCCAAAGTCACCCACAGACCCCGCACGACACCAAGAATGGAAAATTCGGCTGCTGCCAGTCTGCCCTTCTCTGATTGACACCCTGCATGGAAGTTTGTAAAAGGCCCCAGGGCGCCCCTGGGACGTGGGAGCCTCCCAACCGACCCCCATCTGCTGCTAGGAGGAAAAGTGCTCCCCACCGCGCCTCCGCGTCCAGCCGGGCCTCCGCGAGAAGGGATGCGCGGGTCAGGCCCTCCGCCCCCCGCGGTGGAGGGCGCCCATCGCAAGCGCAGTACCTACCCTCGCGCGCCGGTCCGGACGTGGGTGGCGCGGCGCTAGTGGGAGGCGGACATGGACCACGCGCCCTCCATGCGCCACACGGAGAAGGCGTAGCTGAGGCGCTCGTGGGCCACGTAGCTGCAGCTGGTCATCTTATTGTCCATCTCGTCGCTCTGCAGGACCTGGTAGAGGAAGTCTATGTACCTGGCGGCCAGCTTCAGCGTCTGGATCTTGCTGAGCTTGTCCGAAGGCAGCGTGGGGATGATCTTGCGCAGCGCGGCGAAGGCCTCGTTGAGCGACTGGGTGCGCTGGCGCTCGCGCACGTTGGCCAGGATGCGCTGGCTCTGCAGCTCCTCGAAGGACTGCGCGCTCGGGCTGCCCTTCTTGCCGCGCTTGCCGGGGGTCGGGCTGCCATCTTCGCTCGACTTCTTGCTGTAGCGCCGCTTCCGGCCGAAGCGCTTGGGCTGCCGCTCGAGCTCCTCCTCGCTGGTGCCCAGGCTGTCCACGGGGGACACGGGCGAGCTGGAGCCCTCCTCCATGGCGCCCGCCCAGCGCGCGTGGGGCTGGGGGCGCCGGGCGCCGAGCGCGCGCCGCTGGCCAAGCCCGCGGTCGCCGAGCACACGCTCTCGGAGTTTCTGATTTCAAGGCCGGCTTGTGCAAAACCGAGGTCTCCGGGAGAGGAAGTTATTCTAACTTTTTTGGAAACTCTAGCCGGGCTGGGTTGCTAAATAGTTGTCAGGAGCAAAGGCGGCGCGCTGATTGGTCGCCGCGGCCGGGGGCCGGACAAGTTCTGGGCCTTCGCCGACCGCCCCCGCC